TCCACTTTATTGATATTTATATTTTTTTTTAAAAGTGCAATACTGTAACAACTGCCACAAAAGAAAACCTTCTGTACTGTTCAGTCTGTACTGCTGCTCATTCCTGTGCAATATCCCATCTGCCTCCCCGTCACATTCCTATTTAAGATTTTTTCCCCACACTGTATGTCTACAAAAAACAAAGAAAAAAAGGCTGAAAATGTGTGCACGTCTAATTCAGGCGAAGTTTTGTGTTTTAAATGGAAAGACGAATTGTGAAAACACATCTTCAATACGATCCATTTAAGAAAAAGAGAGAACGCTAAAGAGGAAAATCAAATCCATGGGCATGGGTGTTGTGCGTCACTCCGAAATTTCTCTAAAATGGGCTTGGCACTCCTCTCGTAATAAAGTCTTATAACCCCAAAAACTATAAACCATATTCATCCGTCCCAACAAGTTGCTCTGTGATTTTTTTTGGGGTCCCAAGCAAAAACAAACGTAAAAAAAACAATTTTTTTCTGCTTTTCTCCAAAAAGCGTTTACACAGAAGTAAAGTGTCTGTGAAGGTTCTCAGTCATCCAGGTCATCGTAGTCAAAGGAAGTAAAGTATTTTAAACACGACATTTAATTAAAACTGTTGCTTTCTGGTCAGATAACAGTCTCAACCAAAGATTAAAAAAAATTGGCGTGGTAGGACTCTAGATTTCGACCCAGATTAAAATAATGATCACCATTATCATGCAGTCAAGGGCGAGTTTACTCTGTTTTTGAACGTTTGCTTCGCTCTTGAATGCAGCGCACTACCCTTCAGAAACCTATTGGTTGTGTTTAAAGAAAGGCGGGACTTGGATGTAGGATGTATTGTATGATTGGATAGGTGCTGCGTGACTATATCGGAAGTTGATCCCTCATGTTCTGTGCGCATATTTGATATCCAAAATATGGAAGAAATTAATGGTAAGTCGAAGTTACCGGCGAACAAAAGTATTCGCAGATACCTGCAGTTTTTAATTATCATATATTTTGTGTATTGTCATGCTAGGAGACGGTAGTTGACGGTTAATTTAGCCAATTAACTACCAGAAGCTAACTGACCGTTTCAGATTATGTTTGACTGTCGTTTGCTAAGGATTAACCACCGTGTCGTTCAATACTCAGTAAAAGTGGGTACAGTATAAACATGTATAATTATATAGTTACTGTGCACTGTAACGACAGTAACTTGATGCTGAACTTGTGAACTGGGCTCGTGCCCTCCGCACTATCTAAAACCTGTTTCCAGATTAGGTAGAGTGTCTCATAGCTTGTTTAAATTTAAACTAATAAAGCCTTAATTTATTAGTTTTTTCTGCTTTTTAAATCAGATGGAAACTTGGGCCAGGTCCGACACGTTGTGTTGGTTCTGTCAGGGAAAGGAGGAGTGGGAAAGAGCACCATCACCACAGAGCTGGCGCTGGCCCTGAAGCATGCTGGGAAGAAGGTGAGCTTAGTTCATGTCAAGATATGCCACCATGTAGGGCTGTGCGATATGACCAAAATCTCATATCCCGATATAAGACATCTATCGTCCCGATAACGATATAAATCACAAAAATGTAACATTTTCTGTAAATTCTGTGAATCTCGGGCAGCTCCATCTTGCGGGAAGTATTTCCAGCTGCGCGTCATGTAGCTGGAGTAGAGTGTTTTAACCGATGCATGAAACTATACATTTTTAGACACAAGTTGTAACAGCCACCGTTTTCTTTGTGAGTGTACTTACACGGAGTGCTGTGGGGAAAAGCCTGTTCTAACGTTTGAGTCTAAGGTTTATTTTTTAGCACCTGGCGGCTCTTTTTTACTTCTCATCCGTAAATAATCTGCTCTTTCACGTGATTCAGTTTATTTTGAAAAGTCTCAACAGGATCTTGAGCTTTATTGTGAAAGGTTTATGTGGAAGATAAACAAGCGGACACGCGATGGTGTTACCGTCATTGTTGCTAACCACAACGCATAAAAAAACGGGCTTGTCCGTCCATAGTGTGGTTATATTAAATATAAGAGAAAGAGAGAACTTTAATATAGCCACTACAGTGACCATCAAAACATGAAAAAATATTACCGTAAACAGTTTATTTTGCGACACCACGAAACAAAGGATAGCGTAAAATGAAACGACAGACGTTTTTATATCGTCATCCGATATCGTTACATCGAACAGCCCTACCACCATGCTGTTATATTACAACACATTATAATGCTTAATTGGATTCATTATTTTTTTTTAAATGGAGAAATCACCCATCAGTGTTACTGTTTTGTTTTGCTATGCCTGACTATGTTCATACAAATGGGAAGCTCATTCAGGAACGAACTTCTGGTTTAATCAGGTTGGCATCCTCGACGTTGACCTCTGTGGGCCAAGCATTCCTCGTATGCTGAGTATGGGCCGGCCCGACGTGCACCAGTGTGACTCGGGTTGGGTGCCGGTATACACTGACACCCAGAAGAGCTTGGCCCTTATGTCTATTGGCTTTCTATTGGAAGACCCAGATGAAGCTGTGGTGTGGAGGGGTCCCAAGAAAACAGGTATCTGCTAGACTACTAATCTGAAAGACTTGAACTGTACAAGACCTGTGAAGGTGCTCTTCAAGACATCCTTTGAGGTCTTGAAGAGCACCACAAACAAGCACCCTGTGCTTCCCAAGAATCTCCAACCCTGTGTGCATTCACAGTACTAAGTTTAAGTAATTGTGCAATGTGACTGTTTGCGTCACCAGCCCAGTGTTTGAAGACTTTGCTGTTGAGCTCAAGTTTGTTCTACCATTCATCCTATCCATGTCTGCATGTGCTTTACCCACAGCTTTGATTGGTCAGTTTGTGTCAGATGTAGCTTGGGGAGAGCTGGATGTGCTGCTGGTGGACACACCGCCCGGGACATCAGATGAGCATTTGGCCGTACTCGAAAACCTTAAGAAGCACAGAGTGGATGGAGCCATTTTGGTCACCACCCCTCAGGTACATATCAGAATGAGGCAAGAAAAAACACACGTTTTATATAGTAAGGTAAATAACAACACTGGCCATCACTGCACCTCTCTTGTGTAGTATTTTCTGCAAAGACCAAAATATGTTGTCATATATTCCTTTTATTGGGGTCATTATTACAGACAGAACTGCTGGACCACCTAATGCATGCTAATAAAAACACTCTTTTATGAATGACACTCAAAGTAAGTTGGTCATGTATTTTCTTACAGGCAGTATCTACAGGTGATGTGAGAAGAGAGATCACCTTCTGCAAGAAGACAGGTGTACGGATCCTGGGGATCGTAGAAAACATGAGTGGATTTGTTTGTCCACACTGCTCTGTGAGTGAGCCTTTATGCTGCTGTTTATTTGTTCTACTGAAATATACAACTTATCAGACACTGTGCTCCTTTTAATATGTCCTAAGTTATTTACTCACCAAACTATGTTCATTTAGCACTCTTCTAGTCTTATCTCCGTTTTTTGGTTCTCCATTTAGAATAACCTGATTTTATTTTAATCATTACCTTTTTCGTTTTTTTTTAAGGAGTGCAGCAATGTATTCTCAAAGGGTGGTGGTGAAGAGTTGGCCAAAATGACTGGGTCTGTGTTTCTAGGTGAGTCACAGCAGTGAATTACTTGTAATGCTAGCATGCAGCCACAAGGTGTCTCGGTACACTAGCAGGAAGTGTCACTCCTGACCCACCAGTCATGATTCTGGGGGTTTTCCATCACTTCCATGCTGCTTAAAGTCTATGCAGACATTTTGTTCAAAAGAATGATGCATAACTGATCAGTAGGTGTCACTCAGATGAATAGATAATTCAATAATTTCTCCTGACTGCGTAACCACTGTTCGAAAATCAATAATGCAGCTCGATCAGCTCACCAGTGGCATTGAGTCGCCAGCTTTAGCCAGCACACAAAACTATAGCACATTTCATCAATGACTAATTTGAGTTGCACTACTAACAGAGGATGCTGGGATGTGTATTAAGAGTTAACCTCATGTGGGATCAGTCATCTCTTTTCACTCATTTCAGGTTGTGTGCCATTGGATCCTCTTCTCAGCGCCAGTATAGAGGAGGGCAGAGACTTCACACAGTCATTTCCTGACAGTGCCACCTTCAGTGCCATTAGCAGTATTTCTCAGACTTTGCTCAACAGCCTACAAACTGACTGAGACAGATTTTGCATAGTTGTGCTGTGAAAACTACATGAGAAGTGTTGACTTCCTTTGTTTAGTTCCAGCCTTATGTAACCATTTACTGATCATGCTGGTAGTGTCCGTTATCTCTGCTGCACAGCAGACTTTGTGCATATGTCTGCTGAAGCTGCACTTGTTGTGGTTTGAAGATTGTCGGCTCTGAGCGCGGAACAAAACAAAGATAACTACTGTTAACAACTCAGCTGACCTTTCTTTGTATGTTGGTCTGTAATACGATGGTAAGCTGTGCAGCCCAAGAGAGGCTTTAAACGACAATAAAATATGGAGTACTGAAAACGCTACAGTCTGTGTGTTTGGACGCAAGTCAAATCTAAGTTGGAATCTTTAATTCAATTGTGAAAACATTCACGTCGACACATCAGGATAAATTCAATACCAGTGACAATACAGGTTTGTCGATTGGTGCTTCGGTAAAATGCGTCAGCAGCAGTGCCATTTTCAGAAAACAAGACTCCAGATCAAATTGGTCAAGTCCATGTAGGAAACTAGGTCGAATTTTGCATACTAATCTCCCTGTTACATCCTACAACACATCTCCCAAACACCATTTAACCCTCATTTTTTGCAATGATATTATTTAAATCTGATATCATAAGTCTTGATTCTTGATCTGGATCATAATCTTCTGAAACCAGCCTGTGCTTCAGGTTCATATTCCAACAGCAACAAAACACTAAAACCCATGCAGGATTCTTACGGCTGGAATGTGGAAGAGATGAAGTACATCCACGGATGAGGGGAGGAGAAGGGGGCAGGTGAATAAGATGGAGAGGAGATGAAATGTGGAAATTACACTTGTGAGACCCCAACACAGGGCACACACACTTTTAATGCAAACAGCAGTACTACAGGAAAAAACACTGAAGTTTGAGAATGTTCGCAATGATTAGAATACAGCTACACAAAACTCCCACTCCACCAGCAACATACTAAAGGCAATCTTAATTATTAAACCAAGAATTACGTCCAGAGGAATTCCAACCACTTATCACGATTAACCCACAGTGCATTAAATCTATCTATATAGATATTTATATGTCTATATATTTATATATGTATATATCCTGGGGAATTAAGAGACTTTTGCTGCATTAAACAGTTCAAAGAACAATTTCTTATAAATAAAATCAGTGGAAAAAGAAAAAAAAAAAATTTTTTTTAGTCCATACACATTTCTTTTTACAAATAGATCCTCAAGATTAATGCAGAAACTGTGTCAACTCCCAGGCTGATAGGGGAGGAGAGGGAAAAAAAGAAAAGCTGTACGGCCCTTTGGTCAGCTCTCTAAGACCAGAGGCCAAGCTGGCCTCAAAGCCTGAAATAAGTGGAGGGAGAAAAGGAATCTTCATCATACAGTTGTTTTTAAACACACGCACACACCCACACGAGACAGACAAATCACTACATTGCGCATTTACAAGTTGACTATCAAATTGGGACGACTGTACACATTGTTGAGATAAGACCATATTTATGGAGCCATTTTAATTTATTTTTACCCCTCCTGCATCACTTCTTTAATCTTGCGTGCCAAAATCCCCCGCCCAAACCCGTTCCTCTCTCTTTTTAACCTTTTGTGGAGAGGATGAGAGCAACAATGAGCCCATAGAGACCCAAGACCTCAGCAAAAATCAAAATGAGGATCATGCCCACGAAAAGCCTTGGCTGCTGAGCTGTGCCCCTCACGCCCGCGTCGCCGACAATGCCGATCGCAAAACCTGCTGCCAGTCCGCTGAGGCCCACACTCAGCCCAGCTCCGAGTTGGAGGAAACTCCTGCACAGAGAGAGACACAGACAGTGGTCAGCACAAAGATGTTGCTTTAACCTTTGAAGTTGACACAAATCAGAGCATCTTTAAGACTAATGTGACTAATCACAGCCTGTCCTTCGATACAAGTCTAGTGACCCGAAAAGCTGATATTTCTTTTACAAGCTGTAACCAATGCAACATTTTATTCAATCACCAACATGTTCATTTGATTCTTCCCCCCAGTTACTGAGTCATACTGTTGAATCTCAGTTCAACAGTATGACTCATTCCCCATTTTTTCAATTAACAGACTTTCCTTATAGCAAGGGACTCGATAGCCCAGGCAAACACTCAGAGCAGCTAAAAGTCTGATGATACTGAGTGAAAGTCAGTCTGAAATTTAAAAAACAAAGTAGATCATGTGGTGTTCATCTCCAGATCATTACACCTTTCCATTGTGTAGTAACAAAAACAAACAAACAAAAAAAACAAACAAATCATGTGTGTTACTCAGTGAAGTGCGTAAAAAAACCCCACAACACTTTTACTTCTTTAAAAAAAAAAAGAAAAAAAAAAGCCGTTTCAATAGCTTATTACTTTTTCTGGTAAAGCTCCCTGTATATGGCCATACTGCACACTGCCCATACTGTCAGGCATTACACTGAATAAATGAATTAAGGTAGAAATCAAGGATGTTTGGAACAAATATTTCTTAATATTTATAATAAATATGGAGCGTGAATAATTGTCCGTCTTGATCAGTTATCCCCGCAACAGATTGGCGACCGTGAAACAGGTTGCTACGGAAAAATGTGATATCTGACCTGCCAGCTGGTGATAGGTGAAACAGGCTTACAGTGCTGGACTGAAAACTTGCTTGTGATTGATTTGGTTGCTAGCAGGTTGTCGTGGTTGCCCAAGGTTCAGATGGAAGAGGCTGACTTCTCTCCAAACCAACTACTTTCCAAGTGGTAATAAGGCTGAAAAGTGTGAAAGAAACCAAAAACGTCTGCACTTGTTCAAGTTTTACCACCACTTGGCTCCTGGATGGCAACTGTTTGCAGAGAAGTCTGAGTTGTTCATGAAATTATTGGAAAATGCAGCAACCAAAGCAATCATAAGGTGGTTTTTGGTGCAAATGGCCTTTTTCACCTAGTGCCTGCCAGCAATTGCTTACTAACTGATTGAGATTTTATATATTTTTATACATACATCTTGTCTTTATACTTGTGTGACTTGGCCTTAGATAATGAGGGACTTGACACTCTTGATTTTCAGCAGGAATTTTCTTTGCCCATCCCAGAACTCATTATTTTGAGCGAGATTGAGAGAACTTCCTTTAATGATTGAATATTCCAAATTAGAGTACACACAATGAAATCCAAATTGTCTAAAAGCAGAACTGGACGGTCAGTCTTTCAGAAAGAAAAAGAAAAATTGCAAATTGTGCATCTATAGAAAATAATTTGTCAGGCGAACTCACTTGTAAAGAGACTGCTTCTCTGCAGTGTTGTTGGCAATCAGCACTGCTACTACCAGGCCGTAAATGGCTATGATACCCGCCATGACCACAGGGATGATTGACTTCATGATGAGCTCTGGCCTCATCACAGACATGGCAGCAATACCTGTACCGCTCTTGGCTGTGCCATAGGCTGCTCCCAAGGCTGTAAGGAATGACAGAAATGATAACGAGTTAGATAAATAAAAACACAGCAAACTAGAGCACATAAACTACAATGCACAGGTCACAATGGGCTGGTAGACAGATGACTGAACCCAGAAGGCAGAGCTGAATAATGAAGCAGAAGCGAAACAGGAGATGGAGCAACGACACAGCTGTTAGTTTCTGTTCCCTTTAAAAATCCAACATGGCTCTACTTGGGAAATTTTCCCCTTCAAATTGAAACCAATGAAAACATTTTCTACAAATACAGATTTAGACAATTAAATATGTATTCTCATTCAACCAATGTTATTTCAGAATTAGGCTGCAGAGCTGTATATATCACACTCTGAAGAACTTTGGGCTTCAGTACACACACAAAACTGCAGTGTGAATACATATTTATTCACAACCCTGCAACAGCTGCTGTGTACCATCTTTAGCCTGTCAGGCTGTAAAGTAATGGGGGACGTAGAGAACAAAAAGCTTCACCAGCGAATTTAGCTCTGCTGATCTGTGACTTACAACGGCACCGTCTGCGTCACACACAATCAAGTCTGACGGCAGGAGCAGAGTAAAAGAAAAATCAATAGTTGCCCGTTTCAAAATTAGAAAAGCATAGTATAAACAAATATAGAAGAAAAGACATCCATTAACAACAAGTCATAATTCTGCCTGACAAAAAAGGTCAATGTGGCTCATTTCTCAATATACAAACAAAAGGCTGAAAGAGGGTCGAGAATCAGAGAGGCTGGTTTGACAAGGTTTCCTCTGTCAAAGGTGTGTGCACATTAATGCAAACCTGTTCATTCACTTCAAAGCAAACAGCTCAAAGCTCGGCCCACACACTGCTTACATTCTGTATGGGCCACCATTTTGGCTATAAACACATTCACATTTTTATTGGGAAATTTTCAGTTTTCACAAATTCAACAATATTGCTCAATACAGCCTTTGCACTCAAATTTTGTTACCAAGCTGGCAAATCCCATGTAACAAAATATTTGAGAATACGGGAAAAAAAAAAAAAAAAAAAAAAAAAAAAGTGTAAATCTGTAACCTCTCATTTATGAGGCCACTATGATCTTAAGCTGACCTTGTCATATCAGTGGTGTAAAAACCAATGCTCTGACAATGTCATTTTCTTGGCTCTCTGTAGCCAACACGCAGATGATGATTAAATCTGAAAAGTCTCTTGTGAGATCATCCTTGGAGACAGCCTGGTAAACACAGCCCGAGGTGTCCTGCACTGTGTAGAGCCTGGAGAGATGGCTTTCTGGTCAGTTTAAATAAAACTAGCTGCGAGGATATCTGGCAAACAGAGCTAGAGACAGACAGGAAGGAGATTCAGGCCAATCCACAAATGCGCACATGGCAGCCAGCCCACACCCCCCTCACTACTTATATTGATTTAACATCAGACTGATGATATCACTAGAGATTAAATCACACCTGCTCATCTACTCAGATGCGTCTTTGTATGACTGGGCATTGTTTTTTGTGAGAATTGCAAGAACCAAAAGAAGTGAGAAAAAGAGTTTTACTTTTCATTTTGACTTTGGGAGGTGCCAAACTTTCAGCCGGGGGTGTAAATGCTTTAAATTAGACGTGACACTGACCGAAGTGCTTCAATATAAAAACTGATTGAGACAGCAGCGATGTTTAAAGCATTCTCCCCAAAAGAAAACTATTATATTGATAAACCAAATGACTACAGGGCAATATGCTAACAGACTTCAGCCTTCGTCTATTTAAAAGTTTAGAAAAATTCAGCCGTCCATTATCAGTGAGTGTAATACATTACAGTCAGTAATATAATCCCTCGACTATTCTTTCTTGGTACATTTGGCCTCACTCAAGCGTGACAGGTGAGCGCTGATAAACATTCTTATTCTGTCCTGATGATTAAAAGTTTGATGTGTGGCAGAATGGTTTCTACAGTGGTGTGGAAGAAAAACCTCTGGATTTTAATCCTAATCCCCACAGCGTAGGTAAAGAGCTTTTCCTCCTTTCCACCCACAGAATATTTTATGTATGGGATGCCCTTATGACGTCTTATTCTGTCAGAGCAGGAGGTGCCTGCAGCTAGAGATGATCTTGCATGCGAAATGCCTACACAGCAGACAGCCCATCCGTCTGCCATGAATGCAGATAAATGGGGAAGCACTGGTTTTGAGGAAAGAAAAGAAATTCAACATGAAACTGCAATTTCTTCATTCGAAAACCGTTAACCAGTCTTAGAAAACAGGACTTCTAGCTGCAACGTGGAAAGGAAAAGATGCTGGTTGTGAAAACTAAGACTTGCCCTGACCGATATATTGCATCAGAAGCTTGAGGGGGATGTCTAGAACCTATACGTGCCATCACCAATCATCTCTCAACATGGAAGACAGAGAAATAACGCAAATGTTAATTAAAGGTCAAGTAACTAAAAATCACTTTCTAAAAATGATTAGGCAGAAAAAAGAAAAATAAGCTTTGCAGGAAATCGAAAATTTACTGCAGCGCAAGAGAAGCAGTTTTTCAAGCAATGAACATGCATCAACCCCACAATCAGTAGGTTTGTCAATCAGGATATAAATCTACATTTTATTTTTATTGGTTCTGCAGAGAGAAAAGGTGCTGTGGTGATTCATGAAGGAGGAGAAACAGAAAGAATGCTGCCACAGGAGAAGTGCTACTTGTCCCACAGATTGTAACACCCTGAGAGTATCACCTGTTCTTAGCTAAAGATCACTAAAACAATTCATTATCACCTGACACCACTGCTGCAACTCACAGCATGTGACAGCAGGACGCCAAGTGCCGTTATTAAAAACCAAGGCATCCACTTATTTCAGCAGATACGTTCAAACATTTTAAAATATTCTATTGTAAGGAATCTTTAGCCAACCCCTTAAAGTACAACATGTTGAGAATAAACTTAAATGGCAGCCACTATTTTAGAGCTCATGTACACTGCAGTGATTGATGTCAAAGAAACACAGGCAACAATTCCTGTTAATGAAACCACAGAACAATTAGACTGCTCAAAGCTGAAGCTCGATTCATAAAAAGTCCCCATTTCCATGCAAGCACGAGCCCCCTTTCTTCTCTGCAGTGTCCCACTTGTTACTCTTTCACCATCACAGACTTAAAAATAATAATACGTATTCTAACATGGGGCAATTACATATAACACATGATTAATCGCTGGGCATTATTACTTATTACTTGCACTCATTATATCATATTTGAATCTGAATTGCTGCAGCTCATGAAATCTCATGATGAGGTCTGAAAATGCCAATTTTTCACAGATCTTGTCATGTCTTGAAAAAAGGTATCAACAAGATAAATATGACAGAGCTCCCTCATGCCTGGAGTTACAACTCTGTAAATTGTCAAGTATTTATTTTATTTTATTTATTGTCATTGTCAAAGAACAATGAAATTGCGTTTGGGTCAATTAGTGGCTTGGTGGTTTAACTGTTGCAGCATGATTGTAAACTTTGTCAATGTGAAATTATTTTTGAAGTGTGGAAAAACATTACTGCCATTACACCAAATTAAAGGAAGAGAAGTATTAAATTAGGAAATAGTCCATAAAACAATTGTGACCTGTAATAAAAATAAAAAAAAACAAGCAGGTATCAAAGTTCACTTTTTATATTACTTCCCACTTTCCATCTTAAAGCCCTGAAACCAGTCATGTTGAAACTAGTTAACAATGACTTGATATTTACAACAATTCCCTGCTGACTTCTTAACTTTAACATCCTGAAGTTAACGTGTAAGAAGATAAATACCCAGATGGCATTTCCGAGTCAGAAGGCTCATCATGTGATAATCATGTGATCTTGTGTCATTCCTTACACCAATAAGGAAGTTAACCAGCTGATCCTGGTTTCCAGTGCTCAGTTGTAAGAAAGAGGTTTTCAACCAACCAGTAATTTCGATAACACGCTGCAAACAAAACTCAAACCGTTTATGTAGAGCGAAAAAACTCGAGCTTTACGAGTTTCACTTTCTAAAATTGCGTCCTTTCTTAATACAACTCCTACAACTTATTACTCAACACCCTTGTAGCCTTAATGCAGCAGGGTGGCATTTTAGAGGAAAGTGGCAATCAACCCAACATGCCTAAAAGAAGCACCCTAACAAAAGGCTGTGTTACGAGTGAACCATATTACAACTCAGTCTCATAATACTACTTTATTTGAATAGAGTATTGGCACGATCGTATATGTTCACATCCCTTCCTCTCTCGTGCCTTTTGCTTTAGACAAAACAGGCTAACGCCAGAGCTAACTTTTGTAGTCGTCATCAGCTAGTCAACTAGCTTTGACTAGTCCTCGCAGTCTCATGATGAAGCGGGAAGGCTAGCTGTGACAATTGTATTCACAAAGAAATACAAACTAAAAATTAGCAAGTTGGGAACACGCCAACAATCACTGGCTGCACCAGCGAAGTCTAAATAAACGACTGCTCGAGATTAGCTTTGCCACGATAGCGGACGGCCCTCACACTTAGCTCGGAAAGAAGTACTATGGCTGAGATCGCCGCGTTGGGACACATGCACACACACACGCAAAAAGGATTAAGCTGCAAAAGAAAACTGCACCACTGGTTAAATAATAATTGATATATGAAATATAATCCTTTTATAATTACCGCTGAACACCATCGCCGCAGATGCACCCATCGCTGAGAAGAACGGGGAGTACTCGGGGCCTTCGGAAGACATTCTTTCTCACGTTTTACGGTATAAAAAAAAATAAACTAAATATACAAAATTAATTCTATCTGGTGTGTCAAAAAGCGCACTTCACGAAACCTGTCGAAGGCCACGGAATTGAAATGCTGAAGCGACTATACTAAGAAGGAACCTTCTTGTCGCCTAAGCTAACAGTGTAAACGAAACAGTCACGACTCCTGCGATAAATACCCGGCGCAGCAGTACAAAATGGCGAAGCGGAAAATATCACCTGACTGGTCGTACGGACAAAACCTATCACTGACAGGGTGAGAGGGGGGCGCAGTAAAAAAAAAAAAGGTTAATGATTTACTGTTCGACACAGACTGTTTACGAAAGAAAATGTACGGGTTTAAAGCGATGTTTTAATGACGCAGTCTGAGCAAAAACAGCGTTTTTGTTCTTTCTTTTCACCTTTTATTTTAAAGGTCACCCCTATTGTGCTTCACTTTGGTATGCTCCGCTGCAGGCTTTCCCTTTGATATCTACATTTAATTCACCCTTCTGAAGAATGAGGACGAAATGATAGGTGAAAGCAATAGATATCTTATTTATTATTTTCTACACCTTGCACCCGGGCTAGGGCCATTTAGTGGAAGGTGGTTTGCAGTCAGATGTGATATGCAGCAATGTACCACATAACAGTGGGAGAATCCCCATTTCATTGAGATTAAGAAAGAGGAAGGGGTCATGAGAGCTCGCACCCCGAGTTAGAGATGAAGAATGTCTGCATGTGTGACTCAGAGAGAGCTTGTGCAGTCCCCATGCCTCCTCCTCTTCTCCCATCTATTCCTCTTACCCTGCTCACTCTGCATTGCCTAGTCAAGTCAGCACTACATGCAGGCCCCCTCCCCCAGTGCTACTGTAATAGCCTCATGACTCGTGATGCCATTTCTCCACAAGGACCACAGGCCTCCTTCCTTTTGATCACTTTAACTGGCCAGTATCTTAGTAAATCAGGGGTATAAAACAAGAACAGAACATTTGGAGATGGGATGGTGTGTGTTTGTGTGTGTGGTGATGCTGATAGCAAAACGGTCACTATGAATGAAATGACTTTCATTTCTGTTTTCTCTTTTTCTGGTCCTTGACTGAACACTCATTGATCCGGGTGGGGGGGTGAAGAGAGAGGTGTGTAGCATTTCAGCTGAGACTGGATTATAGTGTTCATACTCAGAGCCTATTTAATAGCATGTAATGTGATAGTCTACATACCCACTTCATTGATTCCTGTTTGTTTTGAGTAAATGGTAATGACTATGTTGTAAGGAGAGCATACGCTATAATTTATTGGCTGATCTCTGGAATTACTTTTAAGGAAGGGAAAGAGGGAACTGTGAGAAGTTCTCACAAGGGCATCATGAAAGGCACGTTTGCTACAAAGTGTCAGTGCACACTGTCATCCTTTAGCTTTCAGTGATTCTGCTCAGTTCCACACATGTTATATGTCATAGATAATGTAAAATTTTCCCTTTACATAACAACACTGAGATACCCAGTGTCTAAATTTACATAAGAAACAGAAATCCTCGACATCATTTTAAACACACACACACACCCCAGTACCAGCTCCTGCAATATTCAGTCATTGAATCAGATCAGTACTCGTTGGGACCTCCTCAGCCTGTGTTTTAACCCACCCACTCACTAAGCCAAGTGGCAGGGGTGGCGGTCAAGGAAAAGACCAGTCTCAGTGTACTGTTAAACACTTAAGCATCTTATTCCTCGAGGCTAAGAAGCATGGTTTTTCAAGGAGATGCGCCAGACCAGCATCCAAAGGAGCAGCTAAATATAGCCTTGCATGTGTGATTAGGAGAGTGTGAATCCTGAATGGAGAGCACAGCCTTGGTGAGACAGAGTCAATTCCACTTACTGTAAAAGAAGGAATTACTCCACTCCTTCGCCATTTAAGCTGCTGCATCCCTGCAGATACATTACAGCGAGGCACGCACACACACACTGCAAATCAGTTTGCGCTTTTTTAATTTATATGACTGCACTGACATTGATCGCTTGCACATTGACATGTCAAATAAAATGTCTGATAAATAACCAGGTGTATCAGTTTCCACAGCTGTGAGTTGGTAGGTATGCATGATTCAAATACAGCAGGCTCGGTGTCTCTGTTAGGTTTGATTGAAATGTGGCATGGATTTCTATGAATTGAATTCTGCAGCGCAGCTCACTACCAAGATATATTTATAACTATATCTGACTCATATCTGCTGAATATTTTCCAGTCATGGAGCGTCAGTGTCAGCTTCCACAAAAGAGAGACATGCACAAGACAGCCAAACGAAAATAGACGTGGTGCGTGTGTCTGAGCAATTTACTTGTCATTCTTAGTAGTTTAAAGCTGGAGCTTTACTACAGATTTATATGCAATTTGCAAGAATTTAATTTCTGCTAATTAGGGTGTCAGTTGTGGTTTTAATATCACAGATTTCTCTGTGGGTTTGAGGTGCTTTGAAGGCTTACAACCCCCTCCCAAAAAAACTCAATCCCTATGTGATATGGCTTTCAGTATACACTTGTATAACTTTGCAGTCCCTTTGGGAAAAGGCTAACTGAAAGTAACCGCTGGGAGTACAGAGCAAACACAAGACAATGTGTGGTCAGCTGACCGTAAAGGCATGTGGCACACTTCTGTGAAAATCTGAGAAAATGCAACTCTTGCTTTGCAGGAACAAACGTGACAGATTTGAAAGGATTAGAAAGCTAAATCTTCAAATGTGAACTGTGGATAATGTCAGGAGAATCAGGGTCTGGAGTTCACTTTTCCTCACCGCAGCAGATGGCTCGCTTCAAAATCATTCTCACTAGTAGAAATACTTTTACTTACACCCATTTATTCACTGTGAATTCATTTATTACTCTCACACTGAGTTGTTTTAGGGAAATGGATGTTTAAAGCTGTTTTTGGACTGCAGTGTGTGGGTGAAAACACCTTCAGTAACAAGACAAAATAACAATGACAACACAATGACTCTGATGAAAGCTTAATGCTGTATTTTCACATTTGCAATTACTCAATTGACACTTTACTGAAGCACATTTTCAAATCCACACACTCACACAGAGGCCCCCCAACGACACTTTAGGAACAGGACAGCATTTCAACTTCTCATTACAATCTTTATACTGGAAAGGACGGAAATAACAGGAAAATGATGTAGAGGAGAAGAAAAAACAACAACAACATTATATTCATATACTGCACAAAAGGGAGACAATCATCACAGACTCAAAGAGAAAGCTGGTGCAAAATGGCAACATAAAAATTCACTAGATCTTCATAAACATTTACACCATGAATTCATTTGTCAGATCTCCCATCACGATATATCAGGAAGTGTGGGAAGATACGACAGGTTCTCTAACATCTAGGTTCTTTTGTTCATCATATATCACAAACATGGAGACTCGACTTCACACATGCTGTTGTAAACCTCATGACCTGATAGTAATGTAAGGACTGCAGAGTTAGCTTAACAATGAGTTTGGCAGATTGAGATAAACTACAGAAGAAAAAAAGGACTTAAATTTACATTCAGAAAATCAAATGTTTTTGCTCAGCAGGTTGATCCTGGACATTTCCATTATCACGTCAACAAAATGAGTACACAAATCTATAAATACAAAAATAAACAGGAAAAAAAAAGAAACATTTTTGTTCATTTGCAGAAATTTGAACAAACTGCTTTAATACATTTAAAAAAATAATAATTCAGAGTTGAATTTGCAGGACGGATGTGGTTTTGTTTGCATGTTTTCCACCTAAAACACTTGACTTCTTATTTCACATGTTTAAGTGTTTGTGGATGAATACCTAAGTATGTGTTGCATGTATGTGCTCAGCATTATGAGGCCATGGTGTCCTGGAAGCCCCACACCTCTAGCAGCGAAATCTGGAAGCTCTCTGCACACAGGGGCGGGTTGTCAAAGGTAGTGCAACTGCCAGTGCGCCCGTGGTTCAGCTCAGAGTCGATATACAGAGCGTTGCCGTTGCCTCCTCCTGATTGGAAAGAAGATGACAGAGTTTGCATGAGTTACCAACGATCAGCACTTCTTCCAAGCAGATTCTTTAATATTAACACTGTTTCATCGACATAGTGATCAACACATCTGATCAGTTTGGCAGCAACTCAGTGCAAGTAGGCATGTAGACATGGTCAAGATTACTTGGTAAAGTTAAAACTGAGAAATGGAATAAGGAAGAAAGGTGTTTTAAGTGACTGAATGTGGTCATTGGGTTGGTATGAAACTCAGAAACTGCTGATATACTGTGATTTTACCCACACAACCATCTCTGGGGTTTACAGAGACTGGTCCACAAAAAAAAAAGGAGCTAACGGAAGGAAACAGTATCTTAAATATGCAGAAGAGCATCTGTCAACGTACAACACGTGCAACCTTGAAGCAAAAGGGCTACAGCAGCAGAAGACCACACCAGGTTGTTGGTGGTGTAATGGTGTGGGGGATATTTGCACACTGTGTCTCTTGACCATTGTTCAAACACCATGGTCTGCATTAGCTTTGCTGCTGATGGTGTCCTTCCCACTTTATGAGCACCATCTTCTGATGGCTGTTTTCAGCAGGATAAAACACCAGGTCACAATGCTCAAATCACCTTTAACTAGTTTCCGAACATGACAGTGAGTTCACTGTACTAAACCACCTCCAGAGTCAATAGATCTCAGGCCAATAGAGTACATTTGCTCATTTGGTGAAACAGGATTTTCCCAGACAATAAAACATCAAACTTGGACCATAAAACTATCCAGACTCATTCTTTGGTTCATTATTCTGTTTAAGTATTTTAGTAATGTTATTTATAATGTTTGAGATTGCAAAAAGTCTTTACTGCATGTGCAGTAAAAGCTTTCCATCAAGTGCTACCCTGTTTAAAATCAAAGGATATCAGTAAAGGTCTTTAGCATTACTGATCAGAGTTAGCATAAACCACTTTTACAAATCACAAAAACATTTACATTCCAGGTCTCTAAAAAATAGTTTCAAAATTTATTAAAAGCTGAAAAGTGTGTTTTACACCAATAGCTCACTATTGTGGAAAGTAAAAATCACAATGATTTAGAAGTCATTAAAATGTGTTCAGAATTTGACAATTTGATGACGATTCATCATCAAATCATGTAGGGGGAGAGCAGTGTGCTTAAAACAGCACCTGATTAGAATTAGGTACGGCCGATGGCACCCCTTTAAGAAAATAGGCGCTAGTTCTTTACCAATTTTCCTAATTATGACAGAATACAAGTTACTATTTAAAAAACACGCTTTAAAATGGGAAATACACATAAAAGACATACTGTCAAAGTCCACTCACCCACTATGATGGAGTCAACATTTCCAGACATGAACATAGAAGTATTCTTAGAGTTCAGGTTGAAGTGGCGGGCAGACAGAAATGGTGACAGCTCTCCAGGAGGTTTTTCTGGCTGCTGTAAGCTATTGCTGTCTGTGATCTGGTCTTCAGATGTTGCCGTTTCTTTCTGAGCCTGGGTCTTGATGGACGAAGCCAGCTCAGGGTGACTGATTACTATCCACTCGTAACGCTCCATCTCTGGCTTCAGCTAACAAGAGAAACAGAAATGTCTATAATTAACAACTACACACCAGAAAACTACACATTAAATGAAGTAATAATAGAACAAAACACCCATTTTCTTAAAAATCACATAAATTAGTTAATATCCCAAAATGAATCCTGATTTTAACAAACAGAGATGCATCATGGAATTTAGCATTCTTTAGGAAAAACAGTCTCCTGTGGACATTGGAATTTTCTTCACCAAGCAAATTCAACAGCTCTGTCTTCCACTGCTGAGTTAAGGCAGCACTGTCTAATCTCTTTAACAAAACTGTTGCTTTTGGCAGACCAACTACAATCTACTGTTTCTTGAGCTCCATTGGGGGGAAAAAGTCACACCACAAACACAGAAGATGGGGGACTCTAGAAGTTTGGAGCTTTAACATAAACTTTTACTTGTTAGAGTCATGGCTGCTTTAAAAATTCTGACTCCTCTAAGCAGCCATCTGGTACTCTGAAATTTTCCCAGAGGAGACACTCAGCCTCAGGGGTCCTCAGTTTGAGATGTAATTAAGAAGTTGGAGCAGTTTTCTCAGAAGATTTTCTTGGATTTCTAGTCATGAAATTTACCATTAAGAACTACAAACAAGAAAACTCAGCTTTTTACTGCAGAGCAGCTTCATGATGATTTAGTAGACTCTGGTGTGGCACCTTTACTGTGCCGTGACACCTGCAAAAACGTGGCTCATCAGAAGAAAACCTCTCTTACGCCTCACGAGTCTACAATCAGAAGATTTCAAATGAACATCTAAACATGGCACATACATTAGAAAACTAATCCAGTGTGTTGATGAAGTTGAAACAAAGCTTTATGGCCACAATGAATAAAGAAAAGTTTGGAGAAAATGGGGAAAATTAAGTCAAGCAGAGAAACAATACAAGCTCTAACATGAGCTTTCTTTGATATGTACTCATTTCTAATCTTGTCCATCCTGGTCACTCCCATTGAAAATCTTAACATCTCCAGCTCATCCATAGTCTTTTTGTCAGTGCAATGTGCTCAAACCATACATCACAGCATGTCTCACTAACATCTTTTAACCCTCCCTTTCATTCTTGCTGCCATCCTTCAGTCACAGATCACCTGTGATACTCGTCTCCACTCACAACATCCTGCCCGCACTCTCTTCTACACGGTCAGTTGTTTTGGATGGCTGACCCCAAGTATTTAAACTCATGTACTCATTTGAATTACTTCTCCTTCCAGCTTCTCTGTTACATCCATGTTCCTCTTAGTCACACACTTACATTCTGTCCTGCTTCTATGAATTTGCCTTCCTCTTCTCTCCAGAGCAAACCTCCCCCTCTCCTACCTGCTCCCTACCATCACTAAAGATCACAGTGTCATCTGCAAAGATCAGTCCATGGAAATTCCTGCTTGGTCTCATTTGTCAGCCTGTTCATCACCATTGAAAACAAGAAGGGGCTCATTCCCTGGAGTAATACCAGGCTCACCTTGAATCCATCTGTCACACCTACAGCCCACCTCACCTCTGTCTAAGCTATCCTTGCTTACCTCTCTGCCATTTCAGACTTCTCATGCAGTAACAGTTGCTCTCTTGGCACCCCATCATATGCTTTCTCTAGATCTACAAAGACCTTCTGACGTTCTCCGTACTTCTCCATTAACACACTTGAAGCAAACATCGCATCTGTAGTGCCAACTCATCATGAATCTGTACTGCAACACACCGATTGTCATTTCTTTTCCCATAGCTTCATGATATGGCTCATCATTTTTGTTCTTCTGTAGGTACTACAGCTCTGCACGTTGCCTTTGTTTTAGAAAATCTGTACTAGTACACTTCTTCATTCTTCAGGCATCTTCTCTTCTCTAGGTTTTTGAAAAAAAAATCTCTCTCTCCCTAACACCTGAAAATCTAGAATAGGCTCCTTGAAGAGGTGCAAACAGAACTGAACTGAATGTAATCTTTATTTTGAACATGTTAAAAAAATACAACCACATAGAAATAATAAAAAAAAAAGAGACAAACAAACAAAGCAGAAGTTTTCCTCTTTACAATCTCTACCTAAAAACCGTGGACAGAGCTCAAAACAGAAGTGGATACAAGTCCCAAAATTACAGAACTAGAAGCCTTATGAAGGAAGAATGGAGGATCACCTTCACAGCTTTTAGCAAAGCATTAGAAAGCTGTGAGACTTGTCAAAGGGGCATTACTGATCATGTAAGAAAAGGGACCTCAAACATCAGTTTGAGGTCCTTTTCTTGAATTTGAAAATGTAAACGATAGAAAAAAGAAAAGAAAAATCCCATAAGAGAAGGTAAGACCTTTAAGTTTACGTCTTCTGGAGACTGATAACTTTTTTTTTTTTTGGTAGGGTTATTCTAATGTTTGCATGGCATACATTATCTTGTATGCTACTAATTTTCTCCTAGTCCTGTTCAAACCTCTACTGCCCATCCAATAGACATTGGTCCTGGAGTCTGTCTCTCGTGTGTGTCAGGTGTGGTATCAGGTACGAGCCTGCTACGATACTGAGGGCTTCGGGTTACAGGAGTTTCCGATATGTGTGTGCTTAAGTATTGGTGTTTGAGATGACTGTGTTTTCTGGTGTCTAGGCTCAGACAGCACACAGCTGAGCTTTACACAGTTAGCCAAGTAAATAATTCATAGAGAAGGGAACAGACAGCCAGTCTTTATTTCTATTTCTCGGCAATGTTGCACTGCTGCCACCAGAATAGCAACAAGAGTGGCTGTTTTTTTTGCACTTGACAGCATGTCAATGAATAGGGAACTGTGCCCTAGTATGAAAACTTCTCCAAATGATACACCAACTGGGGCCATTGATATTGACAACAGTAACATTTGAAAAAAGATAGATGGTACCCCCTGCTGGTCATACAATAGCACTACAAAAAAATTCCAACTATCTCTAAAAATGACTCAAATGATGTCTTTAAGAAAAAAAAATTGGTTTTTTGCTACTAGATAACTGAAAATAATCTTACCCTGAAGACAAAACATTCCCCTGTGCCGAAGAAGCTCAACTTGTTGCCTCCTCTCTTCCTTTCCTCCCAATCAGTGGACAGAAACGCTCCGCATACCTGTTGGGAAAAAAAATTAAGTAAAAACTGCATGAGTGAGATAATCTGTGGATTTATTCACCTTCAGCAGTTGTGACAGAAGTCAAGCAAGTGGAAGGACTGACTGTGGTGCCTGTAAGATGCCAACACTAATGCCAGGATAATCCAATCATACGACACATGTATAATCAGGAACTTTAAACCCAGTTCACAGAACGCAGGACAAAAATATAACCCGAGTCTACTTTGAAAAACAGAAACCTAATCTTAGCCTCTTTAACTCCTTAAATACGGTAAAGAGCAATGACTGAGTTAATGCTACGAGTAGGTCACACCTATTGCATGTGCTAAGAAGGACTTTACTTGTCAAACATGACATTTTTACCTTTGATGCTCCCTGTATCAGACAAAGATAGAAACTAATGATAGTTATATATTAGGGAGGGTCAGAGGGCAAGAATGACTTGGGGGTCGGCAAAAGCCCTTAAACTAAGAAACCAAAACAGAAACACAGAAAGAAAAAGTGCAGAAATATGTTAAGACATTTGTGCAAATGTTTTTACTTGTGCATTAAACTCAAACTTTAACGCAATCTCAGTACAGACCTGCATCCCTAAATGGAGAAAAATTAAGCTAACATTTATGCATGCCCGTCTCTGACAACAATCCAATCCATTTACTGATAGACTGTTAAACTCCACTTTGTCTTGGACTGCAGCCGGTGACAGCAGTGCTTCTGCTCTGAAGATCCTCTGCAAGCTGGAGGGTCACACCACCACAGAGGCTGCAGCAGGTGGAGTGCTGGTTCAAGCGTCATCACGCTGAGCTCATAGAGGCAGCAGCGCTGAGCAGAGTCACAAACTGCAGTTCAGTTTTCTGCAGTTCAGAGAAAACTGATCTTTGCTTCCTCTTTATTGTGACAAAATGTACAAAGTATGAGTAATACTCATGAGGTTGCTTAATTTTTCCTTTTCACACATCACAGATTGGATCGAGATCGCCCAAAGGTTGGTTCCAAATATGAGGTCGCATTTTACTCGTATTTTATCTTAGCTCGTTGATCATAATAAAATATCTGATGGCACATTCCACCGTTTCCTTCAGACAAAATAAACAATATTTATGTCAGTAGAAAAAAATGCTACTTACATCGCCATCTGTGGTCCTGATGAGGAGCAGAGTGGGTTCGTGGCCCTCACAATGTGAGTAGAATCTGTAAAAAAGGAAAAACATTTAATTCACTGCAACAGTCTTATTAAACACCTAATACTGAAACTAACACATATCCAGTGGATCGTAATGCAGCAACAGTGACACACTTTTGTATTTTGTACTTTATTAAAACAAGAAGCCGTTGCTTTAAGCCATGAAAGAAATTGATTTGACTCCATTAAAAGAAAAATGTAACCTTAAATTCAGATTTACCCAAACTTTTAGTTGTTAATTTCATTCAAAGTTATAAAATGTAAATTATGAGCAGCAGCTAACACTTAATTAAATTGTAAAATGCACCTGTTCAGGCTGCAACCGTGGGTGGAGGTTGTGAAGAGAAGCTGTGGTTGGCACAGGGCAAAGCGCTCTGGGATCCATGACCAGATGTCATGCATCTCCTTGGCACTGACTATCTCCGAGGAAAATGTGTCAGGGTTAAGTGCCAGCTGCACGTTCCGCCTGCAGATGCCAAAGCAATTTAGACACAGGAAAGAGAGAGAGGTTCAGAAAGAGCATCCCATACAGTGAAGAGATATGTATAAAATACACCCCCCCCGGGGAAAAAAACAAAAAAAAACCCCCACAAAACAGCAACTTGGTCACAGGTTATTTAAAACGGGTACCAGAAATAAGTGTAACCATGAAAGAGCACCCACCTAGAGCTGTAAAAGAACCAATGTGGCAAACACAGGAGTGGTGTGCAGATGAGACAGAACATGGTGCATGGAAAAATCGTGGCACAAACCAAGCAGAAAAGAAAAAAGAACAGACGGTGAGAAAAGGATGCAAAGCAACTCAAACTGTTTCCTACAACATGCCAGAATATAAAGCTTGAAAGGCAGAGGGCATTGCTACCAACAAAAAATTAAATTAAATTTAAAAAAAAAAGCTAAAACAGTTAAGACTGTAAACATATCTACTCTACACTTGTGCTGAATTATATTTCAAATGGTTTATATTGGTCGTCTGCATGCCATGCATACCAGGGTGAAGTCCACAAACCGTGAAGGAAGTTTAGTCATGTTCAAGTATTTTCATTCTAATGGCAGTAGATTTCCAGACTGAAGGTAATGGTAAATTATGAAACATTAGAGTTCACATATTGCTAGATTAACAAAGTGGACTGATTAATTTTATTAAAAGAGCTCAACTCCTAGTATGGGACTGTGAGAAGCCATTTGGTTAAGTTTATTATAAAAAATATACAACATGTGGAAACATTAACTTAAAAAAGCAGAGTAATGACATAAAGCCACATTTTTAGACATAAACACAGCGTGTAGCAAAGTGTCCGCACAGGAAATAGCCCAGTTTTGAAGTTTAGAAAGTACATTTACCCACTTAAAAAACAAACAAAACAAAAAATAAAACATTTACTTTTTCTTTTCTTTTTTTAACTTTACCGCTTCTGCTTCACAGTGATTCCTTTTTGCTGCAGGGACTTCTCATTTGTAAGCTGCAGCAGGGTGATCTCCTTGCGGCTGAACAGGCGGATGGAGAATGCCTTCTCGAGCAGCTTGTCAGGTGTGACGGTGGAAGCAATGCCCTTAACAAATGCCTGAATATCTGCCTTGATTTTGTTTGAATCCTCCTGCTGCTGGTTGCCCTGCCCCCCCTCTGCTCCCATTTTATGCTTGCGATAGAACTTGAGCAAGGCTACTGCCACGCGGTAAAGAACCTTATAGCCCTCTACTAGGTAGACATCTAGGACCCTAACCACATGGCTAAAAGGCAGGTCACCGAGGACCCAGCACTGCCAGTCTGAGTAGACATCCATCACATCCTGAGCCGTGGCAACGATCAGTTTGTGAGCAGCTGTGCAGTACTTATTGGCTAGGTCACCGAAGGTCATGCAGCTAGACTCATAAGCCAGGAAGGTCTGGTCTATAAGTCGCTTCCCTGGCTCGTTGCATGCCAGTATGCGGCTGACATGCTCAAAACACTGAGCTTCGTCTACACTGAAGTGCAGAAGCAATGAAGTAACTGCAGGAAGAGCTGGGCAATGAGAGATATCTGGAAACTGTCCAGCGAGGCAGTTGATGATCTGATGGACTGAGGCTACTGCCTCCGGCTTCAGACAGTACCGCGGTATGGGATTTCCATCCACAAACTCTGGTAGTGGGACGTTGGTGGAGGTTTTCTTTGTGGCTGCATTTCCCATAATGTCACGATACACTGCTGCATCTGGGGTCACTGTACGGCAAGGAATGGCTTTGATGAGTTGCTGGTAGACTTGTGCCCGCAGCTTGTGGTTCTTGGCCCAATAACCTTGTCGAGCCATCCGTTTGAACTCTTTCAGATCTTTAGTGTCCACCTTGGTGGGCCCGCTGCTCTTGGCCAAATCGCCCATCTGGTTCCAGTCCACAAAGCTGCCATAGTCTTCTTCAGCCATTGTGCTGTAAACTTGCTGGACTGCTCGTGCAGGAAAAGAGGAGGTATCTGCCGAGGTCTTACTAACCTTCTAGCCTCCACACAGCAGATATTTTGTCTTTCTTATCTGCCCATTGTGGTCACTGGAAAAAAACAAGGGTGACAAGAATCAAAAAAAGCTTATAATTATGCACATGCATTATTAGTAACTGTCAGTAGCATCATAGAATTATTAAGTTCCCACCCATCACTTGAAGGATTTGTTCGAAAATGGCTTCCACTTTCTGAGCCCTTAGTGAACTTATCTAATTAGTCCTGATCTACACTAAGTACAATATATTACCAGAAGTATTCACTCACCCATCGCCGTCATTGAATTAAGGTGTTCCAATCACTTCCATGGCCACAGGCGTATAGAAATTGAGTACCTAGGCATTCAGACTGTTTCTACAAACATTTGTGAAAAAATGGGTCGCTCTCAGGAGCTCTGTGAATTCCAGCGTGGCATCATGATAGGATGTCAACTGTGCAACATGCTCAGTCGTGCTACTAAATATTCCAAAGTCAACTGCTAGTGGTATTATAACAAAGTGGAAGTGACTGGGAATGACAGATACTTAGCCACAAAGTGGCTCTGCTGGCTCAGCAGATGCTGAGGCACATAGTACCCAGAGGTTGATTACTTTCTGCAGAGTCAGTAGCTATAGACTTTCAAACTTCATGTGACCTTCAGATTAGCTCAAGAACAGCGCGTAGAGAGCTTCATTGAATGACTTTCTATGGCCAAGCAGCTGCACCCAAACCTAACATCATTAAGCACAATTCAAAGCGTCAGGTGCAGTGCTGTAAAGCATGCTACCATTGGACTTTAGAGCAGTGAAGACGTATTCTCACAAGTGATGAATCACACTTCTCCATCTGGCTAACCGATGGATGGGTCTGGTTTGGTAGTTGCCAGGGGAACAGTACTTGTGTATTGTGCCAACCGTAAAATTTGTGGAGGGGGGGGATTATGTGTGAGGGTTCTTTTTCAGGAGTTAGGTTCAGCCCCTTAATTCCAGTAAAAAGTAACTCTTAATGCTTCAGTATATCAAGACATTTTGGGAACAGTTTGGGGATTACCCCTTACTGTTCCAACATGACGGCGCACCAGTGCACAAAGCAAGGTCCATAAAGACATGGATATCTGGGTCAGTGTGTGGAAGAACTTGACTGGCCTGTGCAGAGTCCTGACATCAACCTGATACGACACCTTTGGGATAAATTAGGCTACGTTCACACTGCAGGTGAAAGCGCATCAAACCCGACTTATTTGACGCTATGCGACCCATATCCGATCATGGTATGACAGTGTGAACAGCCCAAATCCGATATTTTCAAATCTGATCTGGGTCACTTTCGTATGTGGTACTGAATGCGATACATATCCGATGTTTTAGAAAGCGACTGCTGTTTGAACGGTCAAGTCGCATTAAATCCGTCTTTTACGTCACCGACACAAGACAGACGCCAATTATCAGCGCCCGAGAAGACAT